TGCCCTATTTGTGATAGAAAACATGGGAATTATGGATTACATGGTGAATGGTATGGAACAGAATATTGTCTTACCTGTAACAGTTCAAGCAATAAACTCAAGTTCGCGATTGTGGCTTAGACCGGTCATGTGAGATCAATAACCCCGCCTTCTCATAAGTTCGAAGCCAGAGAACCCTCCATTCGGCAATGTGAAGAAAAGGGGAAATAATCCAACAGTTATAGTGAAATAATTTTTCAAAAATGGGGGTAGCTGTTTCTTTTTTCGAATAAATATGAGAAAAAGGGCTGAATCGGGATCAGCAAATTAATAGATATCGGAGTTACCATATTTATTTCATGTTTTGCGACGATCGTTGCATCCGGGAGTCGATCTACGATTTGATAATTAACTTCTAACCCATGATGTGGCACAGTAAATTTTCCCAACTGTCAAAGCTATTCTGGCTTCCTGTGATCAAAATACTTCACACCTTAGCTTGTTTTGAAGCTCTCAGTAACCTGCATCTGGTCAAATTAGTTTGAAGTTTCTACAATAACTGGAGCACGTTTCGTAAGCAGTTAAAGTTTCAATCCTTATATAGTACTAATAATACATTTTGGGACTCACTGGGAAGCTATAAATTCTTGTATAACAACCTACCAATTTCTCACCTCCTTTAGGTTCCCAGAACCGAAATCTAGTATTTTGTAGGTTGCCAGGTCGCCATCATTTCACACGCCACTTTGACAGTGTGGTCTCTCCAAGATTTCCACTTTTTTCTCACTATATATCATGCGCAGTAAGTACGTCATTACTTCACTACTCTACAGTAACTATGATATTGACATATGTATTATATCACGAAGACTGATACGCAGAATGGTGAAACACATGATACTGCTCTCTAAGGGTTCAGTGTCATGATCTAAAGTGAACATCTTTCTACGCATATTCTGCTAGGAGTGTCATATGATACTGTTCCCTAAAGGTTCAGTGTCAAGTGATCTTCTACACATATACTATTAGGAGTGTCATATGATACTGATCTCTAAGGGCCAAATGTCATGATCTATAGTGAATATCCTTCTACATATATAGCGTAATGAGTGTCATATGATACTGCATCCTTCGGGCTCAGTGTCAAGTGATCCTCTACATACATTCTGCTATGAGTGTCATATGATACTGATCCATCAAGGCTCAATGTCATCTGATAATTGTGAAGTACGGATGGCTTTGTATACTACATAAAAATTATTCTGAGTGATGTTATAGAACACATGATACTGCAGGTGTCATTCGAATTATAAATATATGTATCCATACCATAAATAGTATCACAAACACCAAAAATAAAAAATAAATTCTGACCAATCATTTATTAAATATATTTGGCTAATACTTTATATTACATATAAAAATAACAGATCACAGGTTCGAATCTATGTAAATATGGTAGGCTAACACTTTCTATTACAACAAAAGATAAAGCAGAACATTTATTAGAATTTATGTAGATATGTAATACACAAGTGCTTCTATTCAATTAGTCAACATTGGCTCATTTAGTTCTAAATCATCGAATTGATCAAGCCAATTTGGTCGAGAAGAATTCGTTCTAATTCTTTCTTGAATGACCTTTATTTCTTTATCAGTAAATTTCCTAAAAGATGATGGTGAGATTCTCCTAATTCGCTTGATCTCGTCTCTTCCTAAACCTTCTGTTTTAAATATGTTGTAAATATTTTTAGCTGATCATTTTTCTTGTTAAAGATATTACGAGTCATCTCAGAGAGGAATTGTCACCCAATTTCTACATTAAGCAATATTCGTGCGGTTTGGGTAGGATGAATAGAGGTATATTCGGCCAATTTCTTCTCCAATGCTTCCCCAAGAGGATAGTGAGAGTCAAGGATTTCA